TGTCCCTTTGAGGACTGCAGTAAGGAACATGCTGTTGGCGACTGCGCTATTGATGTTGTGCTCAACAAGACGGCGCAACACGTGAGGGAAGAGATCGAGCGATTCAAGAATGAGTCTTCAACAACCGAACTGGCGACCAAGGTCATGTGGCCTGACCCTTGGGCTGCTGCAGGCGTTTCTTCCATGAGGGACGACGATGAAGCATACACAAAGGTGATACCCGGCGGAAAGGTCATCGCCACTTATCGCCTAGCGGAGGAGGGTGACCTGTCTTATGAGGCCGATATATACTACGACGAAATTACATCAGCGACGCCATCACCACCTCCTGGTGCTGATGCTGATGATACAGGCCTCGTTCGAAAAGCGCAAGACGCCACTCGCGCTGAGATGGACTGTCAGGTCTGCTATGCACTCTTCTACGACCCCCTTACAACATCTTGCGGGCACACGTTCTGTCGGTCATGCTTACATCGCATACTTGACCACTCACGGTATTGCCCGATATGTCGTCGCCCACTGGCTATCAGCCCCCTATTAAGTCAAACTTCATCGCCTTCCAATCAGACTATCAAGCGCATCATCGAAACATTCTGGCTGGAGGAAGTCAACGCTCGAAAGGAAGCACTGGACGCTGAGAGGGTGGCTCAGATGCAGGATTATGACCTCGCACTCTTTGTATGCACACTGTCCTTCCCCCAAATGCCGACATTCCTACACATCTTTGAGCCGAGATATAGACTCATGATCCGGAGAGCACTGGAAGGAGACCATACTTTCGGTATGGTCATCCCTAAACGACCCCAAAATCCTGGTGATGCCAACTTTCATCAGCTAGGCACGCTTCTCCGCATTGTCAATGTCCAGTTCTTCCCAGATGGTCGGAGTCTCATTGAGACCGTGGGCTTGTCGCGCTTCCGCGTTCTCGAACACAGTTACCTTGACGGATATATTGTCGGCAAGACTGAAAGGATAGACGATGTTAGCCTCGAGGATGAAGAGGCTGCTGAGGCTGCTGAGGCAACACCGATAGAGATTGAGGATCAACAACAACCCATGCAGGCTATGGATACTGTCCAGGAACTCACTGAACCAACACCGACATCTCCATTACCGCGGTCTGATTCTTCCAGTCCGCACATGCCAACTTCAATCACCGAGATCGACTCAATGTCTACGCAGAATCTTATGCACTACGCATCATCTTTCGTCGCTCGAATGCGTCAACAGAGTGTTCCCTGGTTGACAGAACGCATGTTGACTATATACGGCGAGTGTCCAGAAGACCCTGCCATCTTTCCGTGGTGGTTTGCCAGTATGTTGCCGGTCAAAGACATTGAGAAATATCGACTCCTGGGCACATCCAGCGTTCGCGAGCGACTCAAGATATGCTGCACGTGGATTGTGGAATGGGAGACATCCAGATGGTAAGTGAAATCTATAACTTGGCAACTTTTCACGCATCCCATGCCCTATCAAGCCCCCCCTATGACATTCATCCACCCCTCATTGAGCTTGTGCTCGTCGTCGTGTCCGTCTCCCAGGCTAAAACGACGTCTCCCATTCCAGGACAAAGCTGATCCATGGCCGCTCAGGTCCATCCACGGCTGCACAATCCTCTGATTGACAATGCTTGCCCTACTATCTCTCGCTCGGCTTGGTTCTGCAATTCGTGCTCTTGCTTTTCTGCTTTGCTGTGCAGTTGCTGTACGAAGCACGAGACGGTTCGCGGAGTTGATGTTATTCCACTTCTGACACGAACAGGACGATTACGACTCGACGGTAGCTAGGGCGGTTTGGTTTGCAGCATGGCATTATAACGCATCAGATGTTACAAGACAAAAGTCACAGAAGGTGTTCATTTACATGGTATTGAATGTTGATTGATTGGTTGATTGATTCGTTTGGGAGGCATTTAGTCATAGCATCTTATAGTAGTGATTTTGCGGATACCATACCCCCATAGCTAAACTAGACATCTTTCACCCCATGTAGCAAGTTTCCAATTTCTATTACCAGTTTATGGCTTGGCCGTTCGTGTCCTGTGCTGCAGTAGCATCCCCCCAAGCTGGCACAGTAGTTCCGGGGACGTCAACCCATGTCCCAGGCATGATGTTGTCACGATCTTCTACTTCTGCTGCAGGAGGTTTTTGGTCTCCATTCCCCTTCACTTCCGTGGGAGCCCAGATGCCCACATTGTTGTCAGCTCCTTGCTCAACACTGCTTGTGGTCTGCTGTTCGCCCCAGGTGCCCGGAGCGCAAGAGCCTGGGTACGTGTCTTCGCCCCAATGAGCTCCGTTCTTTTTCACAGTCTCATTGCTCTTGTTCGAATGGTTTGAGCCACCCCCCCAACCGTTTTGGTTCTGATCTTGCTCACCAGTCGGTGGTGACACAGGCCATTCTTCCGGCTTACTATCCTGAATGGTCTTATTATTCCAGTCGTTAACTGCCTGATTGTTGCTCGTATCCCAGCCACCTTGGTTCTGGTTCTTGTCTTGGGCCGGTGCGTCCCAAGCATCTTGGCCATTGTTGTCAGCTGTTATGTCGTTCCAGCCAGCTCCTTGGTCGTTATTTTTGTTCCCGCCGTTGGACCCGTTGGACCTATTGGACCCGTTGGACCCAGCCTTATCGGAACCTGGAGGCTGGCCGTTTTCCTTGGGTACAGAACGGTGACTTTCCCATGCGTTGTTTTGTGACTTTCTCTTATAATATGGATTGTCCTGGCCCTGGGTCGATGAGTTAAATCCGGTCCGGCCCGTGTGTTTCTTTAATAATTACTTACAGTAAGACTTCCAGGAGGTCCAACATTATTTTTCTCCGCTTTGGAAACCGGAGTGTTTTTGTTGGTTTCAGGGCTCCTATGTCCATAGTAGCCAGCGGGGGGTGCGCCTGCTGGAGGGCCCATGGCATACCACGAAGAAGGGGCCATTCCTTGAGTGATGGGAACATGCGAGTATGCGTCTGGTGTTGGAACCCCTGCGTAGCCCTGGTGGAATGGTGGCATCTGTGGATAGTTGGGATACTGCTGCGGATTGTTGAAACCATAGTAGAAGGGGTTCTGCATCGGATGAGGCTGACCCATCGGCAGAGGGCGACCGAAGGCGTCACGCTCTGGGTAAAGCGCATTGCTTTGGTGGTTCCCGTAGGCAGGGCCGTCGTAGGCTCTCATGGTATTGTGTTCTGCATCGTAGTAAGCGTTAGGTGCTGGGTCTTGTGGAGTTTTGATCACGCGCTCTATCTGAACGACCTGAGCTCTGATGGGCTCGATAAGCTGTGATTGACGCATATGAGGAACTGGTAATCCTTCGGGATAATTGCCCTTCTTGACTCCATCCTTTTGTTTAGGCTGTGCCTTTGCTTTTCCTTTCATAGTTCTGAACTTGCCTTGATCTGTGTCTTTGGAAGCTTCGGGGGCCTCATCAGCTGGGGCGGCTTCCTGGTCTTTATTGGTTTCATTTTCCGGTTCCTGTTTCTTCTGATTTCCTTGATTTCCTTTCTGCTTCTTGTTATTCTTCTGCTTGCCTTTGTTCTGTTTCTTGGGCTCCTCTTCTGGCTCAGTTTCCTCCTCTGCTTCCTTGGGTGAGTCAGAGGTTTCTCCTTCAATCTCTTGCTCTTGTTGCTGCTTAGCCTTTTTGTTCATTGCTTTTCGTTGCTTCTTGGTCATAGGAGGCTGGGGGGCCGCTTGCTGTTTCTTTCCATCTGTCTGCTTGCCCTGACTTTTGGTTTGACTCCGTTTCTTAAGTGCTAGGATCTCAGACTCTGAATCTGAGTCAGAAGTATTGGGGTCAGACTCTGTTGGTTTTACTTTCTTTAGACACCTCCTCTTGTTCTTACCAGATTGTCGCTTAGAGTTGGGGGGTTCTTCTTCTTCGTCCGAATCAGAAGTTTCGGGGCTTGGCGGGGTGATTTCCTTGCTCCTTTTCCGGCCTACTCTTTTCAATATCTGTCGACCCTTTGTACATCTCTGACAGGGACAATCTGTTGCTGGATCAGAGTCCCAGTCACTCTCGGTGTCTTCTTCGGTCTGTGTCTGTCTGTGCTTCTTCTTCTTTCTCTGCCTCTTGTGCTTCACGCACTTAACTGGATAGTCAACATCAGAATCGGTGGCATCAGAGCTTGATATTTCCGCCGACTGACTAGAATCTGACTCAGTCTCTGGGCCGGAGTCGGATGCCTCATCTGAGGAGTCCATGGGAGTTGTGGTAGTGGTCTGCTTCATAGCAGATTTGATGGGACCATTTTGGCCAAAGTCAAACCGGACCTTCTTGACCTCGGCCTTTGCTTCGTTGGCAGGCGGTGGTGTGTAGGTACGTCCAGTGCGTGGGTAGGTGATCTTGACGGTGTCCTCTTCGGACTCATCATCAGTGGTGACCTCAACACGTACGACGTCTCGCTTCTTAGGGGGTTTGTTCTGAGGGATGGCGCCGATAACAGATTCGATTGTTGTTCCAACTACCCATTCGCAAAAATGCGACGGGAGTTTCGTTTTGCGATTTGACATCGCACCAAAGAAGTTTGCTGTACCAAAGAAATTGTCAAGATAGTTTGTCTTCAGAAAGTTCAAAAGGTCAAAAGGTCAAGAAAGAGATGATTATGCGTTTGTTTTGAGGTTGGGTGCAAGACGTCGCCCTGATGGCATGGACGGCAGTCGAAGGTCGTTGTTGTCAACTGCTCGCAGCTGTCAAGGCGATGCGAGGACAACGTGGTAACAGCCCTAGTGCTTAGCAATCTACAGATCAGAAAAGAAGTGTAAAGAGGGCATGTAGGGGCTATGTCTTGTTTTGGTGAAAAGATGTAAATACGACAGAAATGAACTGCGCTGAGATGAAAAGGCTCGGTTCGTGGTTGAGAAAAGAGGCAGGAGCGAGCTTGAGTTGGGGCTCCTTCCTCCTTGTATGTAGGTACTAGTAGGTACCTATATAATTCACCTTGATGTATTATCCACCCTCCACCTAGCCACTAAAAGAAAGCAAACTCCCTAAGGCACCTATAATTCACTATCACAGCTTCGCATTCAACTTCATCTCCTCCCATCTCTCATTGATAATAAGATTCTGCCAGAACCTCCACGTCGCAACAGCAACTGCTAGAGGAGGACATCCAAGCAATAGCCATGACCACCAATCGGGGCTCGCCTTTCTCAGATCCTTGATGGCCCTATCCAGCTGCTCCTTCAGCTCTTCTTGTGACCCATCGTTCCAAAGCACAATTCCTTTGCCTTCTCCTCGTTCTTCACATCGCCGGGCCTTTTCTCGAACATCTGTCTGGCTACGCACTCTGTTCTCGGCATCTTCCGGGCTCAGGTGAGGATCACGCGCACGCAGACGCTGCATCTGAACTGCTGGGTCGTGGACTGCCACTACAGCTGTGACGCCGCAGAAGCGGTCGAGGCCACTCTCGAAAAGGAGTGGGATATCCAGAACCACAGCCCAATGGCCTCTGAAGTAACATCCAACGACGGACTTGAACATCTCCCATCGGACAGCCGGATGAACGATGCGATTGAGAACTGATCTGTCCTTCTTTCGCTCTTCTGAGTCGCCAAACACTCGTCTCCCCAATGCCGGTCTGTTAAGTGGTCTGCCCTTGCCGTCTGGTCCATCCTCTGGCATCTTCTCGGATGGTTGCACGAGAAGTTCGGGTGTCGTGGGCCCAAAATGTTTCACAATAGCCTCATAGCCACGAGTTCCCGGCTCCACAACCTTGCGCGCTAGAACGTCTGCATCTATGATCGGAAGATTGTAGGGCTGTGATGAGAGCATTGAAGACACTGTCGACTTGCCTGTGGCAATTGAACCCGTGAGACCAATGAGAAGCATGATGGCGTATCTTGAAGGCTGCACAGGTCTTGTGGTAATAGAAAACCTCAGACTCTGGGAACTCGTCAGAAAGTCTTCTAAGCTAATTCCAAGATCACCAGAGTATCCTTATGGATCATGATTAAGATAGCTCTTCTTACCTGTTGGCAGGGTATAGACCTAACAAGGTGAGGCAATAAGCTCAGGTGGTCTTTTTTTTTCTGCCCTTGCCGTCAGCCTTATATAAGGCTATAGAGATTTTAACTTTCTCGATAAAGGCTCAAACAGCAAGGTCCCTATTGTTGGGGTGATGTCAAGGATAAGTTGATTCTCTAGCTACGTGGGGCTTGAGAGCGTTGCTTGCGTTGCGTTGGTGGCCCACGTGATGTGATGGCTCCGATACAGGTGGTTTTAAAAAAGGCTTCTCTTTCGAGATTTGATAGTGGCTTCTCAGATCTAGAATGAGATGAGTGTATCAATGGATGTAGTTGACAGGAATGATCTGATAAACCTTGGGCCGATGATGCAATTGCCGAGGATGTTCGAAACAGTCAGAACAGCCCGTGTTAGCTAGCCCCACATGCATCCATGACTTGCATTAGTAACTTGCACCACATTAAATCAACGACATGTGATGCTATTTTCTTTCCTTCACGCAGAACAATCACAAGGGGGCCGTTTTATACAATTTCAATTAACCGTAGCAGTGAGCATCCTCATATGAATGATACGAAGCAATTTCCTATCTGCATTCGGTAGGTAGTGTTTCCTTGCGCAATCTCATAACAGTCCATGTCCTTATCCGTGAGACGTCTTATTCGTCGATACAATCTCAATCGCATAACTGAGCATGAGCTCTTTATAAGTCGAAAAAGTCGGACAAAGGACGAGAAGCGCTATCATCCCTTCAAAAGTCAGCCTGTGTCGCCGTATTGTCTCCATACTACTTACATGGAGGACACAGTGACAGTTCAAATCAAATTCTCGATCGAGGGTAGAGCCAACTGCAAAATTATTAGTACAACTTCAACTCAAGGTGGTGAGATATCTTACAGCTTGCGTTTAACAATTTCCCAATGAATCATTCTTGTGGCTTTCGTGGTATGTCTACAGATTATCAGCTCATGATCGGGGAGATGAGGCAAAGGAAGGTTGACTTACTGGCCGCGTCGTTTAGTTGGGGAGTCGGACGGCGTAAAACCAACCCTCATCGGTCACATACCAGCGGGAGTCACCCATGTGATCAATGGTAAATCGGTTGCGCTGAGTCCAGTTCCCGTCAACTTCACGAACATAGTAGAAACGGGAGGGGTCATCGTCCGCTGGTTTGAAGTCCTGGGGCTCGTACATTTTGTTCGCATGCGCAAACTGAATCTGACGGAGCTGCTCTTCGCCAGCGGTACGACCAACACCAGTGACATCAGGGACATGTTGACCACCAGGGACATTACCTGCAAAGACGGGGACCGTGCCGGGCACAGCAGCTCCACCAGCAACACCGACCGACGGAACGCCTGGGACTTGCTGAACCTGCTGCATAAACTGCTGGGGCTGGTGGCTCGCAACGAGGACTGGCTGCTGGCCCATGGTCGGCTGCTGGTAGTAGTAGGGCTGCTGCTGGACAACGTAGCTGCCTTGGACGGTAGGCTGGGGGGCCATACCACCGACGGCGGGCTGCTATAGAAATTGTCAGTATTTGCTAATAGTTGTGTTGAGATTTTGAGGAACGAGCGAAAGAAAAAGGTAGACCGCCGCCAAGCCACTGAAGGGAGGTGCACTGAACCACTTGATTCAGGCCAACTCCACGCCAAAGCCAAAACGCAAAGATATATCAGCTAAGTAAACTTGCATAATACGTGTAGCCGTTCAAATAGAATGTCTTGGGCACTACAACTGTAGTGCAGGCGGGAGTCGTCATTGGGACAGGAGACAAGAGCGGGGCAGAAGGGGCAACGAAGGAAAAAGAGGAGGGTGGACAAACTTGTACAACGGCATAGGCCCCGACTGGGACACCAGCGAGACCATTGTCAAAGCGAGGCACATAAACGTGCTGCATGGGACCAAAGGTAGTGTCAGGAACAGGCGGCTGGAAGTTCATGCCATGAACAGGAGGCGCAGTGTTCTGATAGTCACCCATGTTTGCGGTGTTGACAGCGGGAGACTGGGGTCCGATTCCGATGTAGGTGATTGGAGATGGAGTGAATTGGTTTTGCCCTGCGCTGATGAAGGGAGCAGGATGAGGATGGGGATGAAATTGAGGGAGGAGAAATTGGTGCTGCTGAGGGGTAGGCGAGACGAAACCAGTTGGCACTTGTTGCGCGAGGCTCTGAGTCGGGTCGGCACTGATATGCCACTGAGGCTGTGCGTTAGGGCCTAGGCCGAGCGCAGGGAAGCTCGTAGGTTGATTGCTGCCCTTCTCCTCCGGCGCAGAAGTGGTTGCTGGGGGTGCAGCAGTTGTTGTCGTAGCTCGAGCAGTGCTAGGGGCTGTAACGCCGTTGATACCAGCACTGAAGCCGCCGCTGGGGGAATTGGCAGTGGTGTAGCCAGTGATGCCCTCGCTGACGGCGCCAGATGTAGATTTAGATGCAGATGCAGATGCAGATGCAGGAGTTACAGTAGCAGTAGCAGGCTTGATCTGAGAGCCAAAGTGCACTTGACGAGTCTCGGGGGTCTTTGGTCGTCGAGGAATTTTGGGGGACTTGAAGACGCTGGCACCTGCCGAGGCCATGATCGCTTCTTTTGTGTGCAACTCGAACAATTGAGGTTGGAAAATAAATCCACTTTCGAGGCTCGTGAATCAGAGGCCTCAGGATCTCGCGATATCTTCGAAGAAGGGGAAGAAGGAAAGAAGAAGAAGAACCTCTCAGGTAGTAGAGGCACTTTGAGAAGATATACCTCTCGTGCGTACAGGGCACAAACAGCGCTCGAGGCGGCAATGCAACACAAAGACAACCCTAGCGTATTGAATTTTGTTTGTTTATGTTTTGATATCCGTCAATGGCACGTTTTGTGGTGACTCTGTTCTCCAGTCGGTTGTCACTGGCAGTCCAGACGCAGGCTCAGGACCAAGTGGCCCGCAAGATTGAAGGGGATTTGATAGGGCAAAGGGCCACGATGATGCAATTGGAAAATTAAGATAAAATGCAAAGAAATAAGTATGCTCACCACTCTCTGAAGCTCCCAGTTCTGCCCATCGTGGACCCAGACAGACTGCTTAGGGGCTTTGTGCAAATTGTCATAAGGGTCTTCGCATTTTGTCCATGTCCAAGGGAAACAGGGGAGGCACATTATGCCGTCGAGATTATAGCAAATACAACGATGCGTTTTTAGATGATTTAAAAGGGAATGCGTTGTTTTATGCTAAAGTTGAGTGGGTGGTGGATGAGCAAAGCTGGCTGTTGTCATGCCCACTGTGGTGACAGTGCTTCTTCTGCCTTGAGCATTGAATGGATATCGAGTAGTTAAACTCCCGTAAACTTGAGCTCTTTGAGCCTGGGTAGGTAGTAACACAAGGTTCTTGATCTCTTGCGATATACTTATTTGTTCGCTTGTGTGAACTTGCCAAACTAAGGTACCTAAACAATGGGCTCGTCTATTATGCTGAATGCACATGTGTATACAGAATCACACGGCTACTGCGTAATTTCATCCTCTCGCCTCATATGTAAACAATTCATCGTCACGATAGCAACTCATCCATCAGGAAGCAATATGCATCCCTTTTCATCCCATGAATCATTGTCAAAAAGGGCTAAACTCGTCATCATTGTTGTCCTTACTTGGACAATCAAGCGTCCCCATAGTCGCAAGCTTCGCCCTGTCTAGCGCTTGCTTTGTTTTCGCTGCTCGCTGAACTTCTTCCTGGGTGCGGCTGGCGAGGAGTTCATCCACGATGTCAAGCTGGAGAGACGACAGCCCGGCTCCGCCGAAGAAAACTTCAGCTTGGTTCATAAGATCATCTACTTCAGCCCACCACCGGCGAACTCGAACCTTCTAGGGCTTTTTCACACAATGTTAGCAATTGTCAATAAAGGGCACCAATGATGCTCACTCGGATAAGAACCGGGTGTTTCTTTGCTCGTACGCCTTCAAGCAGTTCTTGGTAGGTTGTTTTATTCAACTTTGTCCACGTACTAAGACGGTCAGGCAACTTGCCGGCGGGAATATAGAAATTGGAGTTGCTTCTCAACTTGAAAACCCATGAGTATCTCTCACTTTCAGGTTTCTCTGCTAGCACCATTTCATGCAGCTGGCGAAACAAGCCTTGGGCTTTCTTTCGCTGTGCTTCATCTCCACGATGCCAAACAATCTCGAGTCTGTGTATAAAGATGTTGATAGTGCGTTGGCTCTGTTCACTGTCGGGAGGAAACCTGACTTTCATTCGTGAAAGCATTCCCTCCACGCTGACATCGCTTGGTAGATTGACACACTGGTAATTAATCTTACCGTCGACCCCTAAATCGAGGACCTTGACCTGGTAATAGCCTGATAACTGTTCTTTGCCAACACCCAAGCGAGTTTGGGCTACCATTGTGACCAAGTGACTGAGTTGAAAGCTTGCTCGCACATCATCCCATCTTGCTGGCTCCCGGTCTGGGTCATGGGCATTGGGCTCCCACAACGTCTGGCATGTTTCTTTGACCTCTTCTTCAACTAAGTGCTGCAGTTTCGTTGGAAAGGTCTTGTCTTTGTCGACCTTGATGCGATATGCAGCCTCTAGTTCAAGGCGTCGTTTCCGGAGGTCCTCTGCGATCTCCCGCTTTTCTGCCGGTAGGGGTGTGGTTATGTCAAATGGTACAAACCACGTTCGGTCGAAGCCGTCGAACACGTTGATCCCGCTGTCCACAACCTCGAAGCCAGCCCATTGTGGGCTCCAGAAAGCTGTCAGATTAGTTTGACCCTTGACATGAACGATCCGCGCCCTTGCTCTCCAGTGATCAAGGCGATATTGTATCATAAACTCTTTGAACTCTCTCAGGCTCGCATCAGCGATGCCTTGTTTGGGAGTTCGTGCTTTCCGG